AAACGCACGCACGTCATAAGCCAGATACGCCATTCCTATCGCTCGTCGAGTTCAAAAATAGTTGCTTAGGGATCAATTGTAACATGTCCAAGTTGTGTTTTTTCAAGTTATAATTAATACACTAATGTTCTTTTTATTATTCAGTTCTTTCATTGTTATACTTATTGTTATTTATTATATTATGTCATTTAAATTCCACATTTAACTAGTTTATTGTTTGAGTTTAAGATTCTCGACTGAACATTACAAAAGAAGTCTTTAGTTAACAATGTTTCTATCTTATCATAATTGGCATGTTATGCCAAAAACAATACTCCAAAAATAACTGAAATAACAAAAATTTAACTGAGAAAATTATATTATAAATTGCAAACATTACCAAAATCACGTGGTTTGCCTTCAAACAAACGAAAACATAAATTTTATGAAAAAACCGAAACCTTGATTTAATTTGGATACATATATAAAATAGGATTTGGACCTGACAAATACATAAGTAACAAGATATATGTGTCATTAGTAGATGTCTAAGTTGGATACTGCACTTATTTCGATAATATCTCGATCGTCAACTTCTAAAGACACAATCATCGTGTCATTTGTTTGGGGGGCACCGGGACAACTTCCACTCCGGGTTTCTTCTTTCCTTTAAAATTCATAAAAGACCATTAAAATCCCATAAAGTATATGAATGAAACTAAGTATATAAATGTGCATATGCCCATGATACCAAGACCAACGTACCAGCTGCAGACAAGGTAGAATCACGTAGTTGGAGTTCACGATCTCTTGACATAGTGCACATCTCTCGCAACAAAAATGAGCCAAACAGTCTTGGAAAGGGCTACTACCCAACATGTATTGCTCCCTAATCTTGTAACGATATGCTAAGGAGTATATCCACCCGCATCCGGTCATATAAGTCAAAAGTGCATGAATCCCGCCACTAGCAATGCAAGCTACAACATCACAAAAGTGTCACCTTGGTTGATTACAATTATCTTATAGAGAAATCCGTCACTAAAGACATTTATGTATTTTGTAATTAAGCAACAAAATATAGAGAAATCTGTCACTAAAAATAATAAATAGGTAATTATTTTTGGATTATAATTGCTTATACTTACAAGTCTTTCCATCATCGACTGCCTCAGCAATTCGTCCAAAAGTGATGCAAGGGCACCAACATGTTATGCAACCTATATGATGTAGAGTAGAATATATGTAAAAAGTTAATAAAATTCAAAAGTCCGTTTTCATGGTATACTTATGATCATTCTGTTTTATTCTCTTACTTGATTTTACAGTAATTTTGCTTCATTTTATATTCAAAGTAAATAAACATGTCCGCATAATAGCTTTCTAAATTTTTTTTCAGCATAGGGAAGAAAAAAAACTTACAAAGTGGGGCGTCGGAGCAACAATTACAGAGACCGGAGGACCATTGTGCCGAGGCATCGGTATCATGACCCACCGCTGCAAGTAGGTCCTCTTCATTAGAAGGCACGGTAGCTAGAATTTTTTGGTAACCAGATTGATTCATTGAAGACATGGTTATTTATTACTGATCTATCCAAAAACTCTAAAATATTCAAAGTTTATTGCTTACTTTCAAGGAAACAACCATCTCTATTTATATGCCACTTTGGTTACCTACAAGGAAGGCATAAAGCTAAGTAGCTAACGAGAAATAATAATAAGAAAAAAGAAAAGAAAATGTGTAAGTTGACTTTTTACCTATAGACAAATTTAAGGTAGATCACTAACATAAAATGTAACGTTTGATTATTATTATTATTATTATTATTATTATTATTATTATTATTATTATTATTATTATTATTAATAAGACGGAGTTAGTGGTTAGCAGGAAGTAAACGAAAGTAGTTAGAATCATGAAACCGACATCACTTGGAATAGAATTCGAGACCTATCTAAGAGGCAAAACCTCTACGAAATGAGCTAGTCCGACATTGGCTCAAACAATACCATTATTAGCAAGGGTATATAAAATATAACTCCATGAAACAAATTAAATATCTGTAACAATTTTGTTTTCACTATTTTAAGGGAAATCTAACGTTTTTAAATAAAATTAGTCAATTATTACAAGTATTAGTTTATAACCCGTGAGAACCACGAGTATAAAATTAATAAAATTTTTATAATAAAAATTTATAATTATTAATCAATATTTTAAATAAATTATTAATTAACAGATATATCAAAATTTTAAAGTTATGATAACTTCAAATTAACATATATTTGAAAATGTAAATTTGAATTTTGAAATTAGTTGTCTAATATATCTACATTACACATGACATAATATTAATGAGGAGTTGTATTAGAGTGACACTTGACAAAAGAAGATTACAACTATTCTTTTATTAGAATAGGAATTTTGATAAATCTTACTGGACCTTACAGTGTAACAGAGATTCTTTACCCATACGCAAGGTTCTAAATAACGTGAGGCGTGGCTTCGCGGCAAAGTAAAAGTTAAGCCATGACAAGCCTTGGCGAGTCATGACATTTTTCAAGGCGTGACTATTTTCTATATATTACAGGAGATAAATCATATAATTATTGATTTTTATCAAGTATATCAAGTTTTTAGAAGTGTTATATTAGTATTCAATATAAAAAGTTAACAAAAACTCAATTATTTTAGTCCCGATAAAAAAAATCAATATATAAATTTTAAATCTCTTATTCTAATTACATTATATTAATAACATTAGAATAAACTTAAAATAAATTTAATATAAATTATAAAGTGATATAATTTCACGTATTAATTTAAATCAACGATTATAATTTTATATAACTCAAAAAATATCTATTAATAAATAATTTATTTAAAATAATTGATTAATAATTTTGAAGTTTTACTATGAAATTTAATTAATTTTGTAACTGTGGTTCCTACGGGTTATAAATCTTTCTATTATAATAAAAGAACAAGTTTATTCTCTTTTTTCCATGTGTCATTATATTAGGTTTCTTAATTAATGTCATGTCACTTATCAACCTTTTGATTCTCTTTCAAATTTCAAATTTCAAAATTTAAATTTCTCACTCTAATTACATTAAATTAATAACATTATAATAAAAATTAAAATAAAGTTAATACAAATTATAAGATGGTAGTAATTTCACGTATTAATTTTAATCAACGATTATAGTTTTATATAACTAAAAAAATATATCTTAATAAATAATTGATTAATAATTTTGAGTTTTTTACTGTGAAAGTTTAATTAATTTTGATTAATATGATACCCCCTTAAATCAGCTACTGATATATCAATTACCTTATCTTATACCAAATATATCCCTAACATAATAGGAATGCAATCATGATAATAGATAAATCACACATATTTTGAATATTCAAAATCAAGATTTGGGTTATATATGTTTACCTTTTCATTAGACTTATAAATAAATATAACTATCGATCCCCTAAATTAGTTTTCTTATTGGTGTCTTCAAAGATTTCAATCGATAATTCTTCTGCAACTCTACAAACTACCATCTGCATTCATACAAATGAATCCATCAGGTTAGTATAAAACAAATAATTGTCACCGGTTTCTATTTATTGATCTACATCTTGTTATTTATTTTATTTCTTCTTTTTCTTCTTCTCCTTCTGTTACGATTCTGATGTACCATCCTCTCAACATGTATGTGGTAAAGAAAAGGTATAGACACACATTTAAAACACGCAAACACACACACACACATAAATAGACACAATTTACATAAGCATTTTTATTATGTTTTTTTAAATCAATCATTTTATTTTATCTAAAATACATTGTGAAAAAAGATAATGTGGCAAGTATGTGGTGTGTGGATGTTTATTTTGAAAGTAAATAGAAATACTGAATAAAGAATGGTATACAAGTAAGTTTAGCTAATGTTTGACAATAATGTGGTTATACCAAATTGAAAACTACAATTAAAGTAGGAATAGGTAAGTCAAAGTGTCACACTAGAATGGGTAAAACAATAATTTTCTTAAAGTGTGTGGCAAATTTCAATTTTTTTAAGGAGGTAATAGATTAAAGCAGGACATATAAGTAATTTTACTCTACTTTGGAAATAACTTTTATTGTGTTTCTGTGTTCAGGTATAATTATTGTTAATTAATTAGCATAAAGTTATATAATTTTTGTTCTTTGCTGAGCAATGGCTGCACCAAATGTTACTTTAATAGCTGATGTAGACGTATTCAGAGATGATTTGACTTTCAAAGTTCGTGTGATAAACTTATGGAGCCATATGTCCTTCTATAACATGGACAAAATGTTTTACCATTATATTAGTCTTAATGGATAAACAAGTATCTTACAACTTAAGATTATGGATTTTTTACACATACAAATGTAATATAATTTATTTATAAGGTTTATATTATATTATATTTCTTTTACGGTAAAATTGTAATTTTTCATGCTATGTATATATTCTGTTTAAATAAAAGGGTAAATTGTAATTCTGTAACATCCCAAAAATTAAGACTAAAAATTTTAGTTTTTTTAAAGACTAAACTGCAAATTTAGTCCCTATGGTTATCAAAAAATGTGGATAGAGTCCAAAATCTTTTCAACTTGCACCATCGGTCTAAAATCAGATCTTTTTTGTGGATATGGTCCCTGTCAAACTTAAAATGATGATTATACCATTTTAATTTGTTTTTTATACTTTTTTTTTATGTTTTCCTAATATCAGAATAATTAAAAAAAATAAAAATACCTACCTACGCCATCCCACCCCACCGTCTCTCTCTCTCTCTCTCTCTATCTCTCTCTTTCTCTCTCTCTCTCCTCCATGGATAAACCTTCCATCACTCCCTTTACAGCCTCATCCCTTCTTCAAATCCAAACTCAAAAACCACCCATCACTACCACATCCCAAATAAGCCACCAGTCACTACCGGAGACGCCCAAGAACACGACCATTGACCTTCGCCTCTTTCATCCATCTTCAACCTTAACTATAATCCCACCATTACAGCCTAAACTTAACCACAACAACCCACCCTTATGCCTCCTTTTTATCGCCACTATAACGTACCTCTGTTAACCACCACAAATCAATTTGATCGAACCAAGGAGGGAAAAAGAAAAAATCCGGTGATTAATCGATCTAGAGAAGAAGGAAGGTTGTTAATCAATTTTTGAGTAGGGAAAAGGAATGCCAAGAGAGGTTGCATTTGTTTTTGTGTAATCGATTTTTAGAAAAAAAGGAACGAACCTAGTGCAGAACAGTGATCGATTTTGAGGAAGAAAAAAAGGGTTGCGTTTCTTGGAGGGGTACCGATTGAGTGTGAACTTGTTTTCAAAAGAAATGAACGAGAGCAAGAAGGTCGATTTCTGTTGCTGGACGAGAGACATGTGTTATGTCCAGGCTTGAACTCCGTCGTCACCCTCTTCTCCGGACACCATTGCCTCCGTCAATGGCATCCTCGTTGCCTTCGTTCCTCTGCATCTCCGACAGCAGCAACATAGTTGCTGCCTTCCATCATTTTCCCTCACTTGATCTCTATCTCTTGCCTCATTCAATCGCTTGTCACTCTTTTCTTTCAATCTTCGATCCATAAGCAAAAAGGAGGGGAGAAAGAAGGGTTTGGAGGTGGGTCACGATGCAGGAGCGATTGAGAGTTGAGGGAAGGAAAGATGTACCTAGGTTTAGTGTGCATTATGGGGGACGTTTCGAACACGAGGGAAAACAGGGGGTGTGGGTTTGGTGAAGACGATGAATAGGAGTTGTGTGTGTGAGAGAGAGAGAGAGGGGACGAGGGTTCAGTGAGATGAGGGTAGGGTAGGTTTTTCTTATTTTTTTAATTATCAAAATATTAAAATAAAGGCTGAAACATAAAAAAGTGTAAAAAAACAAATTAAAAGGGTATAATCATCATTTTAAGTTTGACATGGACCATATCTACAAAAAAGATCCGATTTTGGACCGATGGTGCAAGTTGAAAAGATTTTGGACTCTATCCACATTTTTTGATAACCACAGGGACCAAATTAGTAAAATCATTATCCATAACAATATCATGAAAACCATAATGAATAAGAGTGTATCAATAAACATCCAAGTACATCAGAGTCATGTAATATGCGAAACAATGTGGTGTGTGCAATGCAGTCATCCTGAGCTCTTCTCTTTCGAAATAGAAGTACCTGAAAACATGAACTGAAAACCGTAAGCACAAAGCTTAATGAGTTCCCCAACGTACCACATACCATACATATCAAACATATAATGGGCCCCACACATCATCGGACCCCGCCCGACATTAGACCCTGCTCGGCATCGGGCCCCACCCGACATCGAGCCCCGATCGGTATACAGATCTTTCAGTCATCGGGCCCAGCCCGACATCGGGCCCCGCCCGGTATACATATAAACATATGAACATCTAAACACATAACACATGCAATAATTACAAATATAAATAGTATACATAATGGTCATCGGGCCCCGCCCGGTAAACATATAAACACATAACATATGCAATAGTCACACAGACAT